ACCAATAATTATTATTATAAATAGCATTAAAACCCATGGAAACCATTTATAAGCAAAAATGTCTACTGTAAATCACAAAATTCCAATTTGAGCACCTCCTGGGGTTGATCAATTTCCTTTTTAAATTAGCCTAAAACGTATTCTGGACCAACCAAATATACACTGAAAATTTTATGAAAATCGATCAAACCGTTTCGGAAGAGTTCAATAACTTACACTTAGACACGACATTTTTGTATGTTAGATATGCATGCTATTTTATCTATATGTTTAGATTTCCATTACTAATGGATCTATACCTCCAATAAAATATACTCCACCCCTCCCTGGCATATTTGAAACAAGATTTTATTATATAAATAACTAGTTTTTAATATGAAGCTATGATAGTTATATATGCTAACTTAAATTTTCAATTACTGAACMCTTTGTTAAAATATTATGTCTTCCTCTCACAAGCTAATGAAAAATGATATGTAATGGATAGGTACTTACTCACTTYAGAAATTTACTATTATAAAATATAGATTGATGATACTATGAGACTGTTTAAAATGTATTATTATCACCTATGGCATTTTTGGAAAACATGTTCAAATTTTGCTTTTTATCTATTTATTTTATTCAAACATTTTTTTTTTTTTTGGTAAGGTTTTAAACACAGTTAGTACCTTTTAATAGTGAATACTTAATTATTTCTATATATTTCTATATTACGCGTGTAAATATTATTATTTAAAAAACATCTTTTAACTACATATTCCATATTTTGTTATGAAACTACAAATATGCATTTGATTATTCATATGCTATTTTTTACTGTTTCAATAACATGGTATCATATTTTGCTGGCTATCACACAATTCAGAATAAAAAATCGCTTTTTATGACATGATTGAACTAATTTTTTGGCGTATCAAAGGATAAAGAAATACAAAAGAAAACCTTCACGATTAAGCATAAAAACTATGAAATTTGGTCATTTTCCACAATTTTGAACTACAAATTATACGAAGAAAATAATTATTAAATCATTACAATAATATAAATATAGTATTAGTTAAAATATAACACGATTTTATGTTTTTAACTCCTAGCTTAAAATCCATCTCAAAAGATTGTATTTTTTCGATCACCATTTATCCTTTTTAAATTTATTTTGACTTTTTCAATTAAAATATGTTGGATATTATTTTATACTCGTCATATTAAAATCAATAATAATGACACACGTTTAAAACTTATTTAACGCACTGACATAATATGTGAAGGTCGAAGGACTACCTATTATATAACACTCACTACATAAACTAAAGTATTTCTTTTATAATTTAGGAACAGTTACGTATTTTAAAACTATAATTCTCATTTTAAATGTTTGTCCAGTGCTAAATGTTTAAAACTTTTCATTTATAACGGTCTGTATAAGACTAATATTTATTGCTTTGTTACAGAATTAATTTATTAATCGATAACATTGTCGATAAATCCGGGCTAACGGCTGRTAGTTTATTATTTAAACTCAGTATCGTGGTAATTATTTGCGTAATAATATGTGAAAATAATGAATAAAAAAAATTTGGTTTGAATGAGGCAACGTCACATAAAATAATAGTCTATATGCTATATGCTTATATCGTACTCGTATTTCTAAAAAGGTATATCAAGGTTCAGTTGTATTATGGTCAATCGTGTATTACTACAATTGCTAATATCCACGTGATATAAGACTTATCATAATATACACACACACTCATAAAATGTGAATTGTAGCAACAAAAATCAGTATCAGATAGAAACAATACATACATAACTTCATACGCCATTACATATTATATTATTCATACATATGTGAGCCTTTCAATCACAACCCAGACCAATGCATTTGCTGGGACAAGTAAAAAATTAATAAACATAATATTATAAAACGCATCATAGAGCTCTAAATAGGGGCTTTTGTACCTGAGTACACTATTTTAATACTTGATATGATTTAAGGTTTTTTGAAAAAAATTTCTTTTAGTTTCTTAGTGCTCGATGATACTATGATAGAGCTGTACTGAAAGTTTCATTACATTGATCTTAGTGGAGCTCTCTTTATTTAAATTGAAAGCAAAACTATTATCAAACAATATCATTTTAGTTCCTTTTATTTGGTTTTTCAATTATGTTGTTTGATTTTATGCATAATATATATATATATTTATTTGGCTTAAGTTTTTATATATCATATATTCATTAGGCTATAATATATAACAACAGATTCATAAAATTCTAATGAATTTATTATTAATAAATGACACATTTTTTACTAATGAAAACTTTTTAATGCTTTTTCAACTACTTAATTATCAATTATATTTTCTTGACATAATTATAAATTTACTTACTAAGTTAATTTTATGATCTGAAAATCTTGAGCCATACTTTTAGGTCATTGTAATAATTAATAATAATTTAACAGTAATAGTTTTTTATGACGGTTTAAATTCTAATATTTTTACTTGTTTGTGTTCATAGTATCATAATAAAAGGGTAATAATTAATTTTATAAATAAAACAATGGGTACAACAATAGTTATAATATTATATTGTGTTAATATAGTGTTTCATTTTGTACAAAATAAATACCAATGTCTAAACTTAATAATAATAACACGTAGTTCACGTAGTTGGCTAAGTTGTAGGTATAATAATAGGCGTAACGGAGTGTTGTTTTTATCTATGACCATTAACCATATAGGTATTTAACAAATTGACGATCGATATAATGTGGCACTAGACTTAGTAAAAACTATCAATACCTACATTTAAATATATGTTATTATCAGTTTACTACAACCAYCTAATACTTAATACAATAGTTGTCTTAGATCATATAGTATATTAGATGATCCAAGACTGTTGTATTATTATTATTTTTATTTATAGTGTTATCACAAAATATGACATAATAAATCATAAAATTAAAAATAATTATTATCACTAATTACTGAAAAAAACAATTACCCACCATATGAATTATTATTATTATTATTATTATTGTTACAATATGTTAATTATCTTGACAAACGTGCAATATAGCAGTACAAATTGCGTTTACAATTTTCAATATTTTAATCGGTCAAGGGTTAATTTCAAACGTATTAACTTATTAAGCAATTTTAAATGTGAATTACTGTCATTTCTATGTGCTTGGTAAACTAGTAAGTGSTGACTCATGTAACTTATGTCAAGATCTCATAATATAATATAATAATTGTTTTGATAATATTTTATTATTCAGAACTATGGAATGCATTTATTTTCTCATTAAGTYGAATAAAAAAATATCAATTTCTTAAATTATAATATGACGTATTAAWAACAAAACTCGAATAAGTAGTCTTGATCCTTTTAAGACATTATRCTTAGTCAAAAATCACTAAAACTTAACCTACTGTATACGAGTATAAGACGTAGTATTAGGTACCTATACCTTATGTATACATAGGTAGTATCTATTATATATATTAAATTCACTCTCGTGACCATCCCTCGCAGTGTATTTATTTCATTACCACAGTACTCAATGATAAACAGTTTCATTGATGACGATTAAGACTGAATTTATGAAATTATTTTTCTATAGATACCTATAATGTAATGAATTTAATTGAATAATATAGTTTCTGATGCTGGATACCATGTGTGGATACGACTAATTTAGTAACAGTAAATATTTTATAGTTTCACAGTAATTACGTGTTTTTTCAGCATTGTCAAGTTTGATGAGTAATATAAAAACCAAAACAATTTTCCCCTCACAGCTCATTTTTAGTTTTTATATATTTTAAATCAATAAAAAATAAAGTTATAACCACGTGTGTTGGACAAATATGTCTCGAAAAGTATGTATATTATGCAGTTTTGTAGTACCTGCAAAAGACCTTCACCCACACCATGTTATTATGGTCGATGGACTATGGGTTAGGTTATTGCGATAATTCATAGTGAAAAAAATAATAATATGCCACACTCTTATACGGTAATTAATAAATAATATTTAGTAAATAAAATTTTCCTACGAATTTTTGGACTTAGATCTTAACACAAAAGTCCGTATTACGTTAGATATAGTATGTAATATTATTTACGCAAATAAAACTATAATTATTTTTATTATTTCTTTGGTCGCTCCGGGCAGTGGGTGGATGATTCGTAGTTTCCTTTATACGCAAATTCGACCACCATAAGTCATAATATAATATTTAATTAGTGATTGATCGTATGCAACAATAATAATAATTAAGATAATATACATACTTCGATGCGATGTAAAGTAAAACTGATCGAATATATTGTATAGAATCATTCAGACACTATAACTGTTGCAAATTGTAATAGTCGTTAATTTCTCGTTTTACCTGTATGTTTGATTTATATTACCAGTATTTATGATTAATAAAGCCGATACTGGATACTGCTTATAATAGCTCTCCGACGATACTACTTTGTTATTCTGCCGAAAAACTTTTGGCCAAAATTTTTTTCTCCTTGTTTAACTGCCCAGACTATTGTTAATATTATCAATTATTATTTATTATTGTTTATCATATTAAAATATTATATACAATATTATAATATATATACTGGATAAACTATACTCGTCGTCGACTATTATTTTCATAGATTTTTGTCGTTGTTTTAGTACATCATAATACTACAATTTTTGATTTTGACGTATGTGCCTAAAGAAATAATGGCTGTTCCTAGAAGTCGACAATTGTTCATAAACGTCATGCTAAGTCAGAATTATTGTACTCATTGACTTATTGTTATTTATGTTCCAACATAATATCGTGTAAAAATTAGAAACTCGATTTTGGGCTATCAGGCATAGGTAACTATTAATTATTATATTTATATAGCCTTCACGTTAGTAAGTGATTTTGTAAGCGGGAATTATATTTATAACAATAATGACGGTGAGGAATTAAATCAATAAGAATAGTACAATATTGAATATAAATATAATTATAAAAATAAACATAATAATTTAGTATGACATATTATATAAATAAACTTATAACTAAAATAGTGTATCGTTAACTTAGAAATTAGAACATTTAAATAGTCTATATGTTAGGTTGGGTGTGAAGTGTTAATTTCTTGAACACAAACTTAGACGACTGAATAAGTTGTTTATTTGGTCTTGTATGTCTTTTGGCAAATCTTCATCTACTTGTTCGTACAAGAAATGTGCCACTTCTTTGGCCTGRAAACGTGAAATAACATAATATGTAATAAATAAGCYGATGAAACGAAAGTAATCAACGTCATTTTAACGTGGACGACGACGACTCACCTCTTCAATCCAAAAGTCAATGGGGACGGAAAATAGTCCGTCAAAGTCCACGTTTAGTCCTTGAACATTAAACGATCCACGGGTGGGYACATTACCGATGGGTGTTGGTTGCGCAGTGCCAGGTTCGTTATCTATCCTGCGCAAAATCCAATCCAATACACGAGAGTTTTCACCGTATCCGGGCCACATGAATTTCCCCTGGTTGGGCACGTGTTTAATAATCATTAGTATTTAATCAATTAAGAATGGTACATGTTGGGTTATGATAATAATGTGAACCTTGGTACACAATTTGTTGTAAGAACACCTAGAGATCTGAAGTATTTGACCAAAAAACTGTTATCTATAAATTCATATTTAAAGTCATACCTTTTTTCATTGAAAATATCAAAAGGTATAATAATATTTAAAAGGAAAGTACTTGAAACTTTTTACCAGGAGCTTTAAATTTACAAGACTACGTCTAATATATTTAAAATGTGAATATTAGATCATTTCACTCACTTGGTCGTCTTTTCGGAACCAATTGACGTGGAATACTTTGGGAACCTTGACGTTTGGTGAGGCGGTCTCCATCGACAGCCAGTGCTGCAGGTAATGTCCAAAGTTGTATCCGAAAAACGGCCGCATGGCAAACGGGTCGTGCATAATTTCTTTGCCACTGTGCTCGGCGGCTGCGGTGGCCTCGGACTTCATAGAAGCACCAACGTAGACGCCATGCTTCCAGTCAAACGCCTCGTATACCAGAGGCACGCCCGACGGACGTCTACCACCAAACAAGATGGCGTCGATTGGCACACCATCTGGGGACTGCCAATCTGAGTCGATAATCGGACACTGTTCGGCTGGTGTGCAAAACCTACAAAGAGAGTGCGGAAAATCTTAATACGGAAATTTATTAACATGGCTATTATTTAATAAGAATTTTATTTTTATTTTTACTTACTATAAATAATTCGTGTTTATAATTAACTTTACAACATAACTAGTTTAAATAAGTATTTTATTATCATTGTTTTTATGCTAAGAATTAAAAACTATATATTATGTTTAAAAATAGGTATCCATCTAAAATTGAAAATTAATTAAATATTTTATGTTATTATTAACTAATCATATTATAGGTKCATAATAATTTTAAATAAAAATCAACCAATAAACAATTTTTGTACTAAAGTAATTTATTTAATAGCTGATATTAACTCGTTGATTGTCTTATAACTATAATAAAATAAATTTTTAATAAAATAGTTTATTAATCAATTTTAAAAAAATGGAAGTTATTAAATAATTGTAATAGTGACCCAGCCACTTAGGCTGTAATTAAATAAAATCAATTAGCATTTTTAAACTAATTTCAGTTAATATTGTTCTTCATATTATAAAATTCAAACTTGTATAGGTAGTTAAATATGTTATTTGTTAACTAGGTATTTTAACTTGTCACTGAATTGATTGAACTAACATTTTTCTTAAATTTTATAAGTTAATTTTTTATGGTCAATCTAAATATTAAGACATTTATAAATTAAAAAATCAAAGTATTGTGAGCATCGATAATTTATTATGAAATAAGAATATTTGTAATTTTAGAATATCCTAATTTTCACATGAAAGTTAGAATTATTTTTTATTTTTTTGGTATCCCATATGATACCCGAATTTCGTTCACTTTCATATAAACACTCACCTGGAGTTCGGATGCGCAGCCGGTGTGCTGCCGGGTGTCCATGGATTGCCCTGCCAGTCGGTAACGGTGACTCCCGGCTTCAATTTGTCCATGCCCTCCCAGTACACACCTCCATCGCTAGTCTGTGCTACGTTGGTAAAAATCGTATTCTTGAATACCGTATCCATAGCCACAGGGTTTGTGGTCCTAGATGTACCAGGTGCCACGCCGAAGAACCCAAATTCTGGATTGATGGCTCTCAGCTGCCCGTTCCGGTCAAATCGCATCCATACGATATCGTCACCAACACACTCTACTTTATAACCCGGAAGTGTTGGCTGCATCATCGCCATGTTGGTCTTGCCACAGGCGCTGGGAAACGCGGCCACTATGTATCGTTTCCGTCCCTTTGGATTAGTCACGCCTAAAATCTGTCGTATAAAAAAATATATTTCTCGTAAATTCTCAGCTGTATAATATCACCCTTTTCCCCACATATAGTCTCGAGGGAGATAGGGTTTTAAAAACGAATTTAAAATAAACTCTTGTAATCTATAATATGTGAAGAATCACATTTCTTAAATCATCAAATATAATAATAAAATATAATATATTTTAATTTTATAGTACATCTCATAATATTATTATTTATTACTAAATACTAACCAGCATGTGTTCTGCAAGCCAACCCTCACGACGAGCTATCGACGAACCAATTCTTAATGCGAAACACTTCTTACCCAGGAGCGAGTTGCCACCGTATCCACTCCCATAACTGATGATTTCATCCATTTCAGGCCTGCAAAACATCACACCTGTTATTACCTCGCCTGACACATATTACCTCAATATATCACCTAATCATACCAAAATTTTTGAAACAACCAACTAAAATTATAATCTTGTAGAAAGGCGTTTATTTTAATTACTTAACTCATAGTAAAAGGTAATCAAACGTAAGTTTAATCATTTATACTATTAATTCAATATTTTTTTTCTTTTCAAAATAACTGGAAAAAATATAAATCGAATAATTCACGTCAACACTGTGAATCGGGGCTAATAAACTCTGTATTTTTATAATTTACTATATACACATAACATAAGTACATAATAGTATCACCAAATGTCTATAAATTGCAAACTAAAATCTATACTAATATAAAAATAGCTAGAGTAGACTCCTGGATACCATTTCTTAGTTCCGTTGAACCATTGGTATAACAAGAGCTTAACGATAAACGATTTAGACGATATTTAATAAAATTTGTATAATTTTGTTATTTTACTCAAAGTGTTAATAATACAATTAATAAATAATTTAAGTAATTAATTAAAAGCATTTCTGTCTCACTGTTCAACGATATTGATTCACTGAAAAATCTTACTTATGTACGCAACAATATTACTAACATACTGTATAGAATAGAATATTTCAAAGGTATGATTGTATGACAATAGCATAATATGAGACTTAAATAAATAAACATTATATTATAATAGGAATCTGGTATACTGACTTGTGCAGGATTATGGTACGGTCGGGATCACAGGGCCAGTGTGCGTGTTGTACAGGACCGTCGGCAGGACGGCCGACTGAATGTAGGGCCTTAACGAAGTAACCCGCACTATGACCGCTGTCGTCAGGTGAGTCAAGTTTTTCAAGCACCTTGGTACCGATCCTGGTCATGATGCGCATCGAGCACACAACATAAGCCGAGTCAGTGATCTGCACTCCGAGTTTTGAATACGGTGAGTCCAGGGGACCCATACTAAACGGTATCACGTACATGGTTCTACCCTCCATGCAACCCGGGAACCGTTCGGCTACCGCATTGTCTGCATCTTCCAAACTCATCCAGTTTCCCAGCATACCTTTGACAGAACCCCTTGGCACGTTGACTGCATCTCTCCGGTTTTTAGTGCATATGAAAGTCCGGCTCTCTACTCTGGCCACGTCCCTGGGACTGCTCCTAGCCAAATAGCTGCAAGAAAAAAATGGCATTTGTTAGATCACAGTTAGGAACCTCTACAGAGTATGTTTGTGATATAAAAGTGCTTGTTAAGAGTTAAGAGTGTAATGTATTAGGAAAGGTGTAAAACGGAACCAATTATCCTTTAGGCATTGCATCTCGTTGCTTTTACAACATGTCAACAGAAAGTATTTTGACCTTTAACACAAAAGTACATCCATTTTTTTCCAATTTTTTTATTCCAATAATTAAGTAGTTTTAAAAGCACTGTATTTGTCTCATTTTATTTAGTAATGATATCAATAATGTAATATTAGCATCCTGAACAGTCTTAAATTCGCAAAACTTTAAATAAGTTTTTAATTTCACACGCAACATGAATTTAGCATGAATTCACTTTGTTCTACTTATTTTGCAGGTAGTAAGCCTAAATATACTGTAATAATAGAGGTAATAGGCGGTAAATTATGACAACTAATTTGTGCCATTTTTGAAACGCATTAACGACTACAATTATAAATTAATAAATAAGAGTTATCATTACTATTTGACTCGAATACGATGTGTTTCTATCACGCACGCGAGGTGAAATGTCAGCGAGTATTCTTTGGCGCGTAATTATTTAAAATCTGTCTTATTTTTCAGATTACATATTTTAACTCATTTTTAAGTCAATATCGTATTATTATTTTTATTATCATTATCATTATTATAATCCGCCGACCGTGATAGCTCATGTAACCTATATTATATTCCTATCTAACGATTATAATATAATTAAATTATTTTATTGATTAATTGTATAATTTGTTTTCGATAAATTTATCTTTCTTAGGACTCAACAGCTATAATTTCTTAAGAACATTGAATGAGATTCGTAGATTGTAGACAAATAATCTAAAAAAAGGTAATTATTTTTGAATACCAAAAATTTGAAAAGTAAAATATACAATATTTTTAATATTGCCGATTATTATCAATTATCAATAATATTTATTAATATAATATTGGATTATTAGTGATCGAGGGATAATATTTTTTAACTTTTTAAGTTTTATTGAATCGTATTTTTGTTTTAAGACAGGTTTTAATAAACTCTTTTAAAACTTAGAGTTTCATTCAGTAAGTAATATTTAATAATTATTTTCGAACATCGTTTGAAAATCAGCTGCGTGTTCACAGTCAAAACTATCCTTTTCACAGGAATTAACTTACTTGTTTTAAATGGATTTTCAAAAATTTTACCATAAACATTTCATGCCCAAAACTGGATTCTATCGGAAATATTTAATTTCCATGGTATTGAATATTTAACTTTTTATATCACAGAATAAAAACGAAATCTATTCCGAAACTAAAATTTGCTCAGTTCTTTGCCGTTCCATTTTATATACAATATTATTTATTTTTATCTTTCGATAAAATAAATATAGAACGTGAAATACGTCGCGTTTATATTTTAGTAAAATTGTATTTTTTTTTCACYAACAAAAAATACTCATCGCATTCAACAGAAGAATATACAAAGTACATAAAACCAATATCAGTTTTTTTCATCTATGCACATTTTATTATGTTATTGCGTTACACGAAATTAGTTTTGGAAATTTATTTGTACATTGACATCGTAAAATAACGAGCAAAATAACAACTTTCAGTGTAATGAACAAAAATTGTGATGTTGCTAGATTATTATTCAACGTAAATATTTATTTCACGAACTAATATTATATACTAATAAATAATAACATTAGGTATAAATGTGTAATATACCCACACGATATTCAGGTATAATGGTATAATGATTATAAATCAAAAAAAAAAAAAATCAAGATATTAAAAATCGTTTTTTTATCTGTATACATCAAGTTTCAATCATCTAGTCTGTAACAATATTATATTTTAATATAAGTTTGTGACATTTTCGGTTATTCAAAAAACACGTCGTACGTGCAGTTATTGATTATTTCTGTCCATACGCGCAGCGCGCGTTTGTAATAGAATTGTTTGTTTTATTTAATCATTTTCCTAATTTTTTTTTAAACGAGGGTTGCCGTTTTTATCTAGAAAACTGTTGCAAACGTTTTCCGAGAGAGAGTTTATAACCGTTTAACATTTTTAAAGCACTATAAACAAATTTCCGTGTTCCGGATATGTACAAATAAAAATTAATCAAAATTCAAATTTATTATGCTGTAGAGATGATAAACTTTGATCAGTGATGGCTGTGTGAAGAAAATTACCATGGGATACCGGAAATATGCAGAATAAGGTGCCAACGGATGTATACAATTTGGTGTAATAATAATAAAATATAGGTACCTACTATAGATAAAGAGAAAGCCATCGTTCGTAATTGTGTTATATCGATATCAGTTAGATAATGATCAAGATTTATAACGGTGATCATAAAGTGAGATTCTGTCTAAGATTTCTGTACATGTGTTCTCAAATTTATTGAATCAATAAAGAAGTAATTCATTCAATGAAATTATTAGGAATGAGGAGTTTTGAAATTTCTTACGATGCTATGTGATCATTGTGATCACGACGAGTAACTATATTGATGAAATAAACGATGGTATAATTATTTTAATAATAATTATAAAACTATAGATGAAGTCCATCATAAATAATAGAAAAATAGTCACGAGTCGTTACAATAATATTTTAGACTAACCAGTTTTGATACTTTGGCAGCGGAATGATGGTGCGGTTTTCTATCAGAAGTTCGATGAGCATCTTGTTTTCAGCTTCAGATCCATCACAAACGTACACGTTTGACGGTCTGCATAACCTCACGCTATCTTCGACGAAATATTTCAGCTGTATAATCATTATTCATATCATAGTTATTATAATATTCAGGTATAAATATTAAAAACACAACAATATTATTATCTAACGCATATGACTACAGGCCCATAAAAAAGTTCACATAAAAACAATTTTATCGGCTAAATATTTGTATATCTTTTTATTAGTCTGTATTATATCGATAGCAAAAATAAAAAAATATTCTCATATCAATAAAAACACTATGTAAAAAAATTATTACTACACTATACAAGTACTTACCAAACATGTTGATCTCAGTTTCTATAATGTAGTCTATATAACCAAATCAAAAAGAATTTACGCATATAAAAATGTTTTGAAAACAGTTTTTATGTTCAGTAAAAATTTTATATTTACGGTATACAATTGTTGCGTCTTAAATTTTCACTTATTKATGTTGTATTTAAATTACAAAATTAAGCCATAATTTTATATTTATAGGGTTTTTCATGTTGTATTGATATTATAATTTGTTACTCAGATCTATAAATTGAATTAATTGTTACAATTTCATTTTTATATGAAATTCCAGATAGGTTCCGATCAAATTATAACAAGAATCCAGATAGGTAGGTATTATATCCAAAATCGTACAAAATATTTTAGCAATAACTTATAATTATTCAACAGTGCGCACAACAGAAATAGGGCAAATACCATACGAGAGAGGAAATCGCATCATATAATATGTTTATCATTAGTGTTTGTACCTTTTGAGGCAGCAACGACACAACGCTCAACTTCCTGACCGGCTGCGACCCGGAAGCCCACTGTAGATGCACTTTCGGCTGGCAGTGTGAAATGTCCCTGTGAAAAAAAAACAAAATATGGATAAAGTAATTGTTATATTATTATTATATTGAGTAGATAAACATTATCTTAAACCTTTCAACGTAAAGTTTTACGAAAATACTAACGTTGTATACTAAATTATTATGTAGGTACTTACTCCCCAATACTGTCGAAATCAGGCATTTTTAGTGTTTACGATAATTTACGGTGATACAAGATATGAAAACAATGTTACAAAAACAATAAGTGACCACTAATTAAATCAGATGATGACTTCAGGTATCGCGTTTCATACTATATCGCTAGTGAGTGTACTATAATAATATTATCATATTATGATAAAACGAATCGGTGGTGATGTGCTGCTGACGATCGACTAAATATCAAACTGTCGGACGATTCGTTTTTAAGTGTACGTGGAGCGTAATCTGTTTACTCTACGTTATCGTTGACCACCTCCTCCTCCAATGTTAACACGTGACTAGACAGACTCCCAATGAACGCTAAATCGTATAATTATACGATCTACCCGCGCGTGCCTAACGTGCATGTTATTAGATTGTGATAGTAGTATAATACTATAGAAGTAAAGTGCCATTACCTTTTAACTAGTTAATAGATGTATGCATAATTCAGTCTTTAGACGGAGATTCTATTGTTTTCATTTTAATCACATGTCACTGTAGATTATGTATAACAGGTACTTACCTATTTAATAAGATATATTCCAATAATAATATAAGTAATGAATAATGATGTTATGAACGAAATTTGAGAGATAAATTAAACTAAAGCACATTAAACAAGCTATTAAGTACCGGGGACTTAATACCCATAATATAAATTTTARAATTTTAATGTTGACTATTCGTTTCTGTATGTTCAAACATTTTTGCTGATCAAATATTATATATCCTAAGGTAAAAGAACATACAATGTACCTATATTGTACATTTTGAAAAAATTTTCCCTTATTGACGTTAACATAAAGAGTTGTAAACTTATTGTATGTCCAGAGTTTGTAATTTTTGTCAACTACAACACAAGTGAACAATCAATATTGGACTTATATTGAATTGATATTTTATATAAACTTAAAATACAAAATTGATGATTTTTAGTATAACCATACAAATCTTGAATAAATATAACTAAGAAGAAAATAAATTTCAACTTATCAAAAACCTGTTTTAATCATTTAATGCAGCAGTTCCCAACCTTTTTAGATTATACACATTTTGTTAGAGGCCCTTTTGTGAATATCACAAGTAACGTGATAAAAATAAACACTAGTTTTCATTCATAACTGATTTAAGTAATTTTATTGAACATATTATCATTGATTATAAATACTATAAATAGTATTTATAATCAATGATATTAGCAACAAATTATAATTTTTTAGTCGAAAATAAAAAGAAAAAGTTCAGCTTTAATAGTGAAAAACTAATAATTAATGGGATATTTGAGGCTGCTTATTTTTGGAAAGTTTGACAATATTTTTATCTATTTTTATTTATTATTGAATTATTCGACACATATTAGAAACACTATTATATTTAATATTAGATATATACAGATAGTATGCTAAGTAATTTTGTACGTAAAACAATTTTTCGTCTTTTCAACTAAAATCAACTTTTAACAGTACCGGATCTAGGGGGGGGGGAGCGATCCGGGGCCCATGCCCCGGGCGCTTATCATAGAGGGGCGCAAATTTCAAATTTTAAACTCATCATTTTTATGATTTGGTGACTTTTAGGGGCGCTAATATTATGTTGTGCCCCGGGTTGCATAATTTGTAGATCCGGTACTGACTTTTAATCTTAAATATATAATTTAATAATTTATTTCATTCTCGGATGAGCCGTGGTGCCCCTTAAATGAGCTCGCGGTGTCCTTAAGGTGCACAGGAACCGCTGATCTAATGTAAAAAAAAAACTATAACATCGTATGAAATATTTTTATTTTTGGGTACTTACTGAAGTAATTAAGTACTAAAAAATAAAGCATGTGAAATTTATTTTCTAACAAGTTATGGAAAATATTGAAATTATAACTCCGTAAAACTGAATTTTGTAAGATCGTCTATTGTGAATAGACCCTTTTGAAAATGGGGCACATACTCTTATTGCTATTTTTCATATTTTGTTAACTATTACGAGTATGTCTAATAAACTTGAAAACACAAAGTACTGAACAAAAACGTATGACTGTCTGTTATACGCCTTTTCTTGCATTTTTTTTTAATATCTATTATATGCCTTCTGTGAATTAATATTTTTAAATTTTTACGAAATCGTGTAAAAACAAGTTTTATATGATGAAATAAATTAGATKATTTACTATAGCTGATAATTTACTATTAAACATTTTTTAACTAATCAAGTATGTACTTTTTCAATTACTTAATTACAATATTTAAATGATAATATATGAATATAATTATATATATATTATACGCATTATATATATAAAACACAAACCTAAACGTAAATAAAATGTGTGTAAATTATTTTCATCATCCATTAAAATTCAAACCATTTAAAATTGTATTTAATTTATGTGTTATATAACAATAATGGTGAAAATATAAAAATCAGTAACAACACATACAGATATCTTGTAAATAGAATAATAATAAGGTTATAACTACCTATATGTTTCTATGTCACAAAATGCTACTTTTCTTCATTATTTTATACATTCAGTAATTTAATCCGATGATTGTATTTTCTGTAATTTTAGTTCATTACATTTTTGCCAGTAAACTAAACTACCAAACGGTTAACGATACATCTCATTTACAGAATACACAGAATGGTGATGTGGAGAATTTCGGTATGTTTGTACACTTATAAGCATAATATAAGCATAGATAATATATATATGGATAGGATATTAGGTGGTTTGGTATGTGATCAAAGTGAATATATGTTACCACAATGGTTATGTCCAGTTAACACTTGTGTTATCCTCAATAGCCTACATTGATAAGTGATTACGTCACAATTTAAAAAGTAAAAATWAATTAATTTTTTATTAGTAAAATTATATTATAGAGTATAGTTATTATACTATCATTTATTAATCTGTCAATTTGTTATTACTGGTTTTTAAAAAGAATTAGTTTAGTAAATGTTGACCTAATTTTTAATTGTTCGTTTTTTTTTTTTTTTTGTTTTCGCAAAGTATTATTTATGCTTATACTTTGTGTTGATAACATAGTTTTATTATAAACCACTAATGTAACCACATGTAATCAGTGTGGTAACAACATATATTCTCTTCGGTCACATTATACCGCGTTTATTACCTAAGTATAGGGATGTCCTATCCATGTATATATTATTTATGAATATAAGTATATACTTTTATGATTAACTTTATAAAATAATTATCATAGAAAATTTAGCTTTTGGGGGACTAATGCAAAGCATTTTATTATACAACTATAATACTACACAACTTCTAATATCAACAATGACAAAACCAAACGACCAAGGATAGTTTTTGACGTATAAATAAATATTATTGTTATAAGAAAATGTTTTACAAAGATAAACTACATAAATAAACATTTTTAAACTTAAATTTACATCCATGTAAAATTTACATAAAGTTAACTTTAGTTATTCAGCTGTTTCTTAGTACTTTTTAATAGTGTTACAGCTTATAAATTACTGATCCATAGAACTGATATATTTGTCATAATGACATTTTGTCACAGAACACAAGACAGTTCATAACTTTGAGAGACAAAAAATAGAAAAGAGTACTCTGATCTCTATACTATTTGAAATTTTGAAACGTACCATGCGTATAAGCTTAAATAGGTAATTATTATATCTTTAAATTTTTAGCTACTARATTCAAAATAACGAGAGAATGTGTTGTAACAGTAAGTCTATAAGGTTATCGAGTTTTAAATAAAAAATAAAAATAAGAGGTCGTACTGGTATAGGCTAAGTCTGGAGATTAAGTGATTTAAAGGTAGAAGCGGTGTACCAAACTTTAGCTTTTAATGTTTTTGTATCCAAGATATGCTATTATTTAACATATAATACCTATATATTATTGTACTGGATAGCACACCTAATTTTCTGAATGAATTTGTTCTAATCGCTGCCATGGAATCCAAACAAACAAAGATGAAATTAATGTCATAATTTAGCAATATAGTACCTAGGTTGCTCTTAGCAACCGATGCCAAATATAATTACAATGACATCTACTTTACGTTACAGTGCCAAGGTCTGTGATGCCCAACCTTTTAATATTGTGCCGAATAAACAAAAATAAAGATGTATCATAACAAATTAACACCCGTGTATCATTTATGGTTATATAATATATTTATTTCTTAACTTATACTTAGATCATAATAATGCTTGATTTCGTTTAATTTGAATTTGAATAATAATAAAATCTAAGTTAAAAATACATGTTTCATAATTATAACGAATAAATTATAATATTTCATTTTATTATTTTGTTGAGATCAGATATTTGGATATTTACATTAATGGTAAATTAAAAAAAATTAAAACATGACTATTCTTAGTTCCATCAACTCGTACTATCTAAACCATAAAACTAAATATTTTAACTCTATATCTGAATTTATTAATGCTTTAAAACGAAAATATTTTTATTTTTTTTAAATTTTAAATTTAAATTTTTTGTATTTATTTAAAAGCATAAATTCTACCGTAAATTTTTGTCACGTAGATGTAAAAGTTTTACTAGAACTCAGCATGATATAAATAAATGTACTTATAATTTATCAGGTTTCCGAAAGTTCTTCATTAATGTGAAAAGAAACCAAAATAATAGTTCAGTTTTTGTTATAAAAAAACAATTTTCATAGATTTTAATTAAATAGTAAATATTATTAATTTAAAATCTTCTGATGAATCAGGCAATGATGTATATAATTGTGTTTATTTATAGATCACCGTCACTTGATAATAATTCATTTTTGGATCTATATGACATAATAATTAATTAAATCGCTACAAGACTAAACATTAATTATAAGAGATATGAATATTAATATTATTAATAATGAACACGTAAATAATAAATATTTAGATATGCTATCATTATATAATTTTTGCTCACTTATTAATATATATTATACAACACTCCCATTAAACAAGTAACACTCGTTACAAAAATCACATATTTATTAAATGTTGTAATGAAACTTTTCTAAATAATATTAAACAAATATTATTCAAATCGACATAACAGACCACTGTCCAATAATTGCTTCAATCCTGTTTATAAAATATGATCATCAAAAAGGCAATAAAATAAAATAAATTAATTATGGCCTAGTTAAACATTATTTTTAAAAGGAGATTTKAGACTATATTAT